TGCTTAGAACATGCGGCCCATCACGCACAACTATGGCATGAGATTTTAATGTTAACAATATGAGATAAATCCTATTGCATATACAGCAAAAAAAAACAAACATTTTAGGCCTGATATTATTGCTAATATAATATAGTTTATAAGTGGCAATGCCGTGGGGGGGAAAAAAGTTATTTTTATTTTTCATTTATGTATTTTCGTTATTTACTTTTCTACGAAGTGAAAAAGTCTTGTATTCTTGTACAGTTTCTTTACACTAAACTACAAAAAATAGTAATCATAACGCAAAATAAAAATACACCATTTTAGTAGTATTTCTCAGCCTTTAGAATCTAGCATGATGTAAACAGTAATATGTATATAAAGAACATTACTTTGCTATGCATATGCATGAGCAGTTTTTAAAGTAATAATCAGTATCATAGCTGAACAATGTATAATAATCCTAGTACTCCAGCTGTTGTCACATTATCAAATGACATCTCTCATAATCATCAGCTGGTACCTGGACATGCAGACAGTGAGAAAGGTCAATTGGTTAGTGCACCCACTTACGTAGTTATTTAGATCACATGCCCACAAGTTTACTTTCCAGCATTGCCAGACATACTTAACAAATTGGAGAATATCTCAGTGCACCATTGGAAACCTCTTTGATTGTTATAAAATAATTGCTGGATATTGGAGTTCAACCGGAGCACTACAGTTAGTTCAAACATTAACCCTTTAAGAGATAACTGGCATAGTGCTTTTGCCATTCAAGGGTTAATAGAATTTACGTACAATGTGAAAATGATTAAATACTCCTAAAAATATTTTTTAGAAAATAATGCTTTTTGTTTGTTTTTTTTACATTATTGATCTTATCAGACACCTTGATTCTTTTTACATCAGGAATTTACACCATGAGGACCCCTCTGCATTTATTTCCAATCTCCCTTTTTGTGACTTTGTTTGCCTGTGAATACAAAGTACAGAAAAACAGTCTGAAACCCACTATAACTATTTCACATAAACGTAGGTGTACAAAGGGTAGTATAGAGACTTTGTGGTGATTGATGTGCTATAAAACTAAGAGTGCTGAGGAACACTTTCTTATATTTGACTCCCTCTAGAGTTTATTATAGGAAATTATCTTACAGCTGGTTTATTGAGTCTACGCTAGCAGTGATCACAATCACATTAAACAGTACATTGGTGAACATAAGATATGTGGGTTCCATAAAATAACTTGCCTGCTGGGTTTCATAGATGGCTGGATAGTGATATAAACTTCTTCTGAATGGCAAAGAAAAGCTCTCTATGTTTGGTGGTTAGTTGTTTGATTTTATGTATTTATTTTCCCTCTCATTGTGTTACCTCCAATACAACATCAGCTTTGTTGTTGCTTAGTTCCCTCCTCCCCCACAACTAGAAGGATAGATGATAGATGCCACATACAATTGCTTAAACCTGTATGGATGCAGTTACTGCAGAGGGATTAAGAGATGACATTCCTCTGAGTGGGGAAGATTCATAAAAGTGTCCCTATTGGAAAAGCGGTGCAAAGTTCAAAAGTTGAGCAATCACCTCGGAAATAAACAGCTTTTACTTGTTTATTCCAATGGTTGCTATGGCGATTGCTCAACTTTTTACAAATCTTCCCAGCTTGCATCTTTAGTGTCTCTCTATCACAATGCTCACAAGAAGAATCGGTACAGACCGACAAAAAGTTAAATTTTATCCTATCATGGGCTTTGTATAGGTGTAAATAATATTTTATGTTCATTATTATTACTTGTAAATATGTGTTTGTATTTGCATAGATATAACTACTTCTCTTCAACATACAGGGAGTCTATATTATTATTATTATTATTATTGCCATTTATATAGCGCCAACAGATTCCGTAGCGCTTTACAATATTATGAGATGGGGGAAGAAACTATAAATAGGACAATTACAAGAAAACTTACAGGAACAATAGGTTGAAGAGGACCCTGCTCAAACAAGCTTACAGCCTATAGGAGGTGGGGTATAAGACACGTTAGGACAGGAAATACCAATCAAATAGCGTGGGAGTGAAGCAGAGCTGGAGGAGAGAGTAAAGCACTGCCCTATAGTAAAGAGCAAGAGACAGGTATGTAAAGTAGAGGTTACTCTGGGAGGCGATAAGCTTTCCTAAACAGATAGGTTTTAAGGCACTTATTAAAGGATTGAAGACTAGGGGAGAGTCTGATGGCAGTAGGCAAGCTATTCCATAGGAAAGGAGCCGCCCGCGAGAAGTCCTGCAAGCGCGAGTTGGCTGTACAGGTGCGAGCAGTGGTCAGGAAGTGGTCATGGGCAGAGCGGAGGGAACGAGGAGGGGCATACCTATGGATCTGTGAAGAGATATAAGAGGGGCTTGAATTGTTCAGTGCTTTAAATGTATGGGTTAGCATTTTTAATTGACTCCTATAGCATACAGGGAGCCAATGTAAGGACTGGCAGAGGGGTGAGGTGTGAGAGGACCAACTAGAGAGGAAAATCAGTCTCGCCGCGGCATTCATTACAGACTGTAGCGGGATATATACGGCTTTTGGGGAGACCAATCAGGAGACAGTTACAATAATCCATGCAGGAAATTACTAGAGCATGGACAAGTTCCTTGGTATATAAAATATAGTGATCTGTTTTGGATTTTTTTCCACTGCTTACTATACTTTATATTTAATGATGAAATATTTTTGTACAACAGGCAGCGTGGGTCATCATTATGAATGAATGTCTATTTTCTACCTAAATTATAATAAACAATATTTCAAAAAAAATTATTGTATTTAGATTTAGCATTCTGACCAAATGTTAAAAGCATTTCATGTTTAATTATGATATATACATTTCTATACTCATCCTCCTACATGCATAGTAAATGTAAATAGTGCAAAATTAGAAATAAAGGGATTACATTTGACACTTGCATACCAGTTAAACATGGTAAGATAGAAAACCAAGTACAAATGGCCATGACTATTCAGAATACATAGTTATTATAAAAACCTTGGAGAGAGATTGAAGGAATTTAAATTCATGTAGCGATCCACACAATTTTAAAGGACCTTTATATCATTTATGTAACTGGCAACGATTCCAAAGGATCCAAACCTTCAGCATGGATCATTTGACTATAACGTGTAAACAAATGACTGGTAAGAAAATTTTCACATGTAAAATTAATTATTGTACACTCCTTTAATTGCATTAGGAAAATGTAATCAATGTATTTAACCAGGCAGCATTAAGTTTACGCTAGATTCCAAGCATCATGGATTCTGGGTTATTACCTAACTTATTGGCTTTGTTGAGTTTAGAATGATGAAAGGCATTTAATTAAATCAAGTCAGGATTTGAATCCGTGGCCAAGATTTGGAGCACTAACCACTGACCTATCTTTCTAGGGCAAATACATATGCGCTGATATCTTGTTTAGGCAGATTAAACTGTATATGGTGGAACTTTCAAACCTGACCAAGTGAAAAATAGCACATAAACAATTACAATGCAATGTAATTTTATGGCAAGACAGGAGGCTTCATATTTGCTTATCTTTCTTTACTGTAACTCCCAGCAGCAAAGAAATGGTTAACAATGTTGTATGGAAAAATCAACCAATCATAACATATCTCAACTACAATATAGTGTCATCAGACTCCTCCCACTTCCTCTTTCTTTGCTGCTTGCCTCCCAGGTGAGTCTGCTCCAATTATATTGCCTTCTGATTTCAGTTATATATATATTTAATTGGTATTTGTAGCTTTAACAATATCTACTTTACCACAGAAATTTGTATATATTTAATGGCTTATTTTTTCTATCCACTGAAAACCTAATTTTTTTCATTTATATATTTAATCCTTACTGATTTTCCCTTTTTTTAGCAATTGTGCTTTTTGTCTCATCCCTCATTGTGTCTTAATTTTCAATCCAGGGATTTCCCCTTTAAAAAATTTGCCGACACTCCGTTCGTTACTTCTTTATTTTGTTTCAGTCAGCTGGCCGCGGCTCTCCTCAGAGGTAGAGCCGCAGCCCTTTCTCGTCACTTGCTACGGCCGTGGACTCCATTTCCCATGAGCCCGCGGCAGCCGTTATTTCCCACCCATTCGCGTCTCCCTCAACTCCGTTTTTTCCCGCCCTTTTTATGAGCGGCGATCTCGGCGGCCATATTTCAGCCCACTGCTCCTTCAGCGGATCCAGTTACTCCAGCACATAGTGTTTCACTCTTGCCTGGCTTGTGACAGGTAAGTTTATGCTTTCTGCCTCCTCCACCCTTTTTCATATGGGCATCTCATTTCCAATACGATCAGTTTACTGATCTTTTCTCATCTGCTTGCAGGTTTGCTCTACAGGACCAGACTGCTGAAATTTGGGTGAACCCCTCTCCCTGATCTGTTTGTATATATATATATTTTTTTATTAGTGTGGGTAATATACACATATATATTTTATCAACCTTGTGTGGCTGACTATATTTTCCCTATTGTGGGTGAACCCCACTTGCATATAAAATTCTCAAACTGTAAATACTTGAGTGGCTGACACCACTTACTGAGCACACTCCTGTGTGAAATATCTGTGTGGCTGACACCACCTACTGAGCACACCACTGCGTGTAATAGCTGTGTGGCTGACCCCACCTGATTTATTTTCTGGGTGACCCCCATTTTCTCACTGTACATATTTATCTATGTATATATATATATATATATATATAAAAAAAAAAAAATTAAAAAAAAGTTAAATCCTAGTGGGTGATCCCCACCTTTTTCACTGTACAATAATTTTATCCACCAAACTGCCCAATAGGGTGACCCCCTATTATTTGTTTTTACAACCAGGTTTTTTACTTGTGCCAAGCATTTGTGGGTAAACCCCACTGTTTTGACGTCTCGTGGGTGACCCCCACCTCTTCTCATATTGTAATTTGAGAGACCTCATCTTCATTTGCAACCCTAACGTTACCTATTTAATTAAGCATCCCATTATGTCAGACCGCCAAGACCCTGCCATCTCTGCCGAACTTAAAGAATGGCTTTTCTCCACTATAGCGGAGTCCATTCCTAAGGCCTTGGCAGCCTACCATGAATGCACCACTGAGGTACACCCCTCTACTCAACAACCCTCTGACTCGGAGGATTCTCATGTCTCTGACCAAGACAACGCCCCGCGCAAGAGACCCAGGAAAGGGAATAGCGCTACTGCGGGCAAAGGCAAAGCTCCTGCAAAGGTCATTAAACATTCTAACCCATATGTTACGCAGGATGCCACAGACCCTCTGGAGGGTTCCACCTCACGTTTGTCTGGCCATATTTTAAGTGACTATGATCCAAATTACTCTGATGAGGATCCCATGGCGAATGCGCCCCAGGATTCCTCAACATCAGAGTTTGTAAAATAAACTTTTATGGGACAGGACCCCAAGAGTAAAGTGCCTGACTCAGACACCCTCCTGGATGCCTCAGGCCATCCCCTTTTTAACCCAAGGGTGATTTGTCATCCGCGCTCAGCAGAATGGGCTCCCCCGGACCATATTGCTAATTTTTGTAAACTGTGGCTTCGCAAGCCCCTCGAAAAAGAAATTAGAAACAAACTAAGGGCTGAATGTCCGAGACCTACAATTCCAGGCAAAGTTGCCTTTACCCCTGAATTCGACCCTATGCTGGTCACCTATTTGACAAAATCAGGTAAAGACCCTCGTAAGGGTATTGGGCAGGGCTTGAAAGCGACTCAAGACAAATTATTAGACATTTCAGGCCCTATAATTCAAATATTCATACTGGCAGATGAGGCACTCACAAGCGGTGAACTTGATCCGCATACCATTAGAGAATGGGCACAGAGGGCCCTATGTTTATTGGGCAATGCCAATGTGGCAATTTCGATTGAGCGGCACTTTATAAAATCGATGCCAAATTAGTAGACCTGAGTACCAAAGAACTAGGCCCAGAGGCCGATGGTTTTTTGTTTGGTAACAGTTTCATGCGAGACCTCTCCAAGCATGTCTCGGTTTTTACCACACTTAATAAAGCCCAGTCCTCTCTACGTAGGGTTTTCCGCTCCCATAACCATCGTTTTTCTGGGAGAGCTGGGGTCGCTCCAGGGGCCGAGCTACCAGTAGAGCAGCCTTTACAGGCTACAGGCCCCGACCCACAGATTATTGGTCCACAGGATATACACGACCCTACCACAGACAACTGTTCAGCACCAGAGGCTCGATACGAGGACGTGGCTCTGCATCCCTGCGCGGACGCACTGCTTCAGGTAATGGACCTTGCTTATTTGAAACATATATCTTTCGCAGGTCGCTTAACTTCCTTTTTCCAACAGTGGCAGCTCCTTTCTCAGGATCTTTGGATCCTTCATACAGTCAGAGGTTTCAAGATAGACTTTTTTACACACCCAGTACAACACTCTCCTCCGACATCCTTAAAGATGTCAAAAGCAGACACTCTAACCTTGAACACAGAACTGACAAAATTGGTACACAAAGGGGCGATCGAACCTTCGCCTTTCCCTTGCACCTTCCTCAGCAACATATTTCTTGTTCGGAAAAAAACGGGGGACCACCGTCCCATTATCAACCTCAAGGCGTTGAATCGCTTTATCACATACCGTCATTTCAAGATGGAAGGAATCCATCTTCTCAGAGACTTGCTCTGCGTGGGAGACTGGTTCTCCAGATTCGACCTCAAGGATGCTTATCTGACAGTCCCAATCGCACAGAGTCACCGTGCTTTCCTCCAATTCCTATGGCAAGGAGACATTTGGCAGTTCACCTGCCTCCCCTTCGGACTTTGCTCTGCCCCTTGGTGTTTCACCAAGTTAATGAAACCGGTCATGGCGCTCCTTCGCTCTCAGGGCATACGTTCCATTATATATTTGGACGATATCCTGATCATGGCCCAGGACCAACAATTACTTCACAAACACACACACATGACCTCTGCCCTCCTTCAAAACTTGGGTTTTGTCATAAATTACCAGAAGTCAGATCTGGAGCTTTCTCAGATAGTCCAGTTTCTGGGTTTTTCAGATAGATTCAGTTCAGGCAACTCTACAGTTACCCTACTCCAAAATCAAAAACATAAAACGAGAGATTCAAAAATTACTCAGGTCACAACGACCTCAACTCTGCGACCTAGCACACGTTCTAGGTCTCCTATCCGCATCAATTCAGGCTATTTTTCCAGGGCCCTTACATTACAGAGCAATGCAACGGCTGAAAACCTCCTATTTACATCGCTCAACCTCTTACGAACAATTCATTTCCCTAACAGACGAAGTTCTCATCGAACTTCATTGGTGGCTTCGCAATATGGAAGCCTGGAATGGGAAAGCGATTTTCGGATATCAACCAGATTTTATTCTAGAATCCAATGCCAGCCTACTTGGTTGGGGTGCTACTTGCGCCCAAACATACACAGGGGGTCTCTGGTCCCCTTCAGAACAGGCACTTCACATAAATTGTCTCGAGCTCATTGCCGGATCCTTTGCGATCCGCAGCTTTGCCAAAGAAGCCTCCAACTGCTCTCTGGTACTTCGGATGGACAACATCTCCGCAGTACGGTACGTAAACCGACTCGGAGGGTCCAAATCGAAACTACTGTCAGACCTCACCAAGGATCTGTATCAGTTCTGCTTAGACAGGAATCTATCTATTCGGGCAGAATATCTCCCGGGACCCGACAACTTAGTCGCGGATTGGTTTTCACGTCACTGGAGGGATGCCAGCGACTGGCAATTAGATCCTCTCCTATTCCACCGCATTCACCTGTTGCGGGGACCGCTCACCCTCGACCTCTTCGCGTCTTGGCTGAATCATCAGACAGACGATTTTTTCAGCTGGTTACCAGACCCTCTATCTCTAACTGTCGACGCCTTTCTCCAACCTTGGCCACGTAGCGGAGCCTATGCCTTCCCTCCTTTCTCAATGATTCAACGGACTCTCCACCAGGTCAAATCACAGGGTGTCAGAGTTGTGATAGTTACCACTCTATGGCGTGCCCAGACGTGGTTCCCCACCCTTCTGGAACTTTCCACGGATTATCCCATCCTCCTACCTCGCTCACATCGAGTCCTCAAGAACTCAACGGACGACTACCACCCGCTCGCCTTACAAGACCACCTTCAATTAGTGGCCTGGACAGTTTCAGGGGTGCTTGGCATGCCGCAGGACTTTCAAGAACTGCTCAAACACTCCTGTGGGATTCATGGGCTCCAGGGACCAGGCGAACCTACCTCGCCGCATGGCGAGTTTGGGTCAGCTGGTGTCTGGAGAGGGATTTCGATCCCGTTTCAGCATCTCTTTCATCCATTCTAAATTTTTTATCATCACTTTTCGATCAGGGTAAATCATACCGGTCGATTAATATTTTTAGTTCCACCATTTCGGCGGGCCATGACCCTATTGATAATTCCTTAGTTGGATAACACCCTTCTGTGTGCAGACTTTTACGAGGCATTCGTTTGACGAGGCCACCCTCTGCCAAATATTCTGAGTTCTGGGATATATCTCAAGTTTTCGCACTGTTAGAGTCCTGGCCCCCTAACGAGGCCTTATCCCTTCGACAACTCTCTGCAAAACTAGCCCTGCTACTGTGCCTGGTGTCCTTCCGCAGAGTTTCTAACGTTCAAGTTTTCGATTCACCCGAAGGTGTCCGATTTATGATTACTAGGCGCACTAAGACGAACTTCTCGTCTGTTTTTTACCCATACTTTCCCGACAGGCCGGCCCTCTGTGTGGTGCTGTGTACCCGTTGTTACACGGAGACAACTGCCACCCTACGTTCCCCTACCGGCCCCCTTTTCATCTCTTACGTCAGACCTCACAAACCGGTCTCTTCCCCCACTATCGCTCGCTGGATAAGATGGTTACTTATCCAAGCGGGAATTGATAGCTCATTCGGAGCCCACTCCGTTAGGGGGGCGGCCGCATCCTCTGCCTTCCATGCCGGCAGTTCAGTGGCGGATATTTTGTCCTGCGCAGATTGGTCAAGGGAATCTACCTTTCGAACTTTTTATTTTAAACCAACACCACATGCAGCTTCTTCTATTATTCAAGAGCGTTAAAACAGCAAATATGAAGCCTCCTGTCTTGCCATAAAATTAGGGATTATTCTAGCTTTCAGTGAACGAATAATCTGAATTTTATTAAAGACAGGAGGCGAATATTTTCCCTCCCTTCGTTCACTCCGGAACCCACCCTCGAGGTGAGTCTCATAACCAATGTTTAATGCATGATACCGTTCCTTGCATCCAAGTTTGCAATATACGATTTGTTCATTTAGCGATTATATATCTATCTCACAGGATACTGATAGGTCCTTTTCTAACTCTGCCAATTCGTCTAAACTATAATTGGAAATAGGGGGTATAACTATATATTTTCTCTTGTCCGAGAAACCTTACTTTCACGAAGTCTCTCTTCTTCTCTTTTAGTGTGAAGATCTGAAGTTTGTTCGATCACCTTTCCGTTTACATGGTTGACTTCATCGCGAGTTACAGCCTCGAGAAATGTTCCAGTTCCAGTTTACAGGGTTGACTTTGCTACTGACCGGCAACACCAAGAAAGAGGAAGTGGGAGGAGTCTGATGACACTATATTGTAGTTGAGATATGTTATGATTGGTTGATTTTTCCATACAACATTGTTAACCATTTCTTTGCTGCTGGGAGTTACAGTAAAGAAAGATAAGCAAATATTCGCCTCCTGTCTTTAATAAAATTCAGATTATTCGTTCACTGAAAGCTAGAATAATCCCTAATTAATGGATGGAAAAAAAACTGTATGCTTTTCCCCCCATATTTTGCAGCCCCATACATTTACACACACTATACACTAACATTTACACACACTATTCACTAACATTTACACACATTATTCACTAACATTTGCACACACTACTCACTAACAAATTTACACACACTATACACTAACATTTACACACACTATTCACTAGCATTTACACACACTATACACTAACATTTACACACACTATATACTAACATATACACACAATATTCACTAAAATTTACACACACTACATCCTTACACAAACATACACTCTGCAGTCACTACACACACTACATCCTTACACAAACACACACTCTGGAGTCACTACACACACTACATCCTTACACAAACACACACTCTGCAGTCACTACACACTACTTCCTAACACAAACACACACTCTGCTGTACCTACACAAACACACACACATACACTTTGTAGTCACTACACACATTACATCAACTACACAAACACACAGTCTGCAGTCACTATACACACATTAAATACTTACACAAACACACACTATGTAGTCACTATACACACACTACATCGACTACACAAAGACACACTCTGCATCCACACACTGTATTCACTAAACACTACATCCA